GAGAGAGAGAGAATGAGAGAAAGAGACAGAGAGATAATAACACCTTCTTAACTAAGAAACAGCATCATTTATTATCATCATCTTGACGTTATAATAATGTTTTCACTAATGTATGTATGTATGGATGCAAAGAAAGAGAGAGAGAGAGAGAGAGATTCTTATCTCATTTCGTTAGACGTAGAGAGACAATTAGAAAAGGTAATCTCTTAAGCAGGTGTTGGAGAGAGAGAGAGAGAGAGACAAGACACATATTTTCAGATGGAGCCGTGAGATATGTAATCAGTCTTTTTACCCCGGCAGGAATTTTAGGTGAAGAGTTGCAGTGGATTAAAGGGACTAGTTATTGAGTCTGTTTTACAAAAGTTAAATGATATGTAGATTAGTTCACTCAATAATAGACTGTCGTATTGTGTGTAATAATAATAATAATAATCATAATCATAATCATCATCATCATCATCATCATCTAAAAACATCCCTCTCCTACGAACACTCTCTCCCCCCCCCACTCCCACTCCCCTCCCCACCCCACTCCCCCCACCCCAAATATATAAATAATAATACGGAGCAACAATTTCTGGGTCAAGTCATTTAAGAAATAAGAAAAGTTTGCAACAGAAGGTGAGGCAAAACCCACTCAGTTCAGGGCACGATCTCAGCCCAGCGATTTCCCTAGTGACCAAGACGGACTAAGGGTTCGGAGAGACAGTTTGTTATTCACTAAAGCTTCATTAGAGAGACAGTTTATGCATTTGTATTGTTTTAATCTTTAAGTACTCACCAAGAATTACGTTCACCGTGACCTTTGACCTCTGACCCACATACACAGGTCATGACAATAGCTTTCTGTTTGTTGTTATATAATGACTAATACCTGAGTCGTGCCAGCACTTCCCTGATCATTATTCTTCCTCACCTGTCTGTTCAGGTGTGAGTACGATGATGTAACACCTAACATCAATTTTATTTATTATTTTGCTCAGATTGATTAATATATCTAGTGTTTAGTTAGAAAATGAGAAGAGAAAATATATCGAGGGTGTTTTCTGCGACGTAAATGTTCATCTGTGTTTTGTATAAATGTTGAATCTCTGTCTATAATTTCATATGTTACCTGTGTGTTATAATAAACCAGGTGGAAGTTATTTACGATGTGATTTGTCCTTTTTTTTTTACCGTTGTGGGCTTTTTTTCTTTTCTTTTTTAGCCCCAACAAAAGTTAAATCCACCTTCCCATTTTATGTGTCAAGGTGCAATGTAATTTTTCAGAAGATTTTATTTTCCTCTCGCCTTCAGAAATTTGGGGTGGTCATGTCGCTTGTGAGGTAAAAATGAGTATTTCCTCGACTCTGGAAAAATATTATTGGAATTCAATGGCGGTAAACACTGGTCTCTCTCTCTCTCTCTCTCTCTCTCTCTCTCTCTCTCTCTCTCTTCCCCAATAGATCTCAAATCCTCTGATCTGACGTGATTTGGTGAAATGATTGCTTGTTCCAGTCCTATATAGCGAGTTGGCGGTGAATGGTAAGGGGTGTATTATCCGAAATAAATACCACAGCCACAATTTTCCGGATTACCCGAATTATCCGAATCTTCCGTATTATCCGAATTATCCGAATCTTCCGAATTATCCGAATTATATAGCAAGATGAAGGCCGTGATAGAAACAAATATAATATATAATTTCCGGGGGTATATGACCGTAGTTCTGTATAGTAATTTCTGAATATCCGATCAGAGGTATATATATTTTTCCGAATTATATAAACCATACCCAATATAATAATTTTAGCCTATAGTAGAGAAAAGTATTATACCCATTAATTATTGTGGTTTAGTTAGGGCCAGATATTTTATATTAATTTATGTTTCTCGTAATTTTACTTTCAAAGTTTAATGTCAAAGATCAGAATAATAGAAACGGGTGATTATACAACATTTACAAACGTAATGATTTAAATACGGATTCAATTAATAATAATTCGTTATAAAATACAAGATCATTAAATTAAAACATAAATTACATTAAAACCCATGAAGGTAATATGCCTTTGTTCTTATGAAAACTAACTACAAGGATAAGAAATTCCTGATATACTGAGGAAGTTGGTAATACTTTGGATCACGTTCGCTGTTAAAGGGACGTATTGGAGTCCTGTAGTTATTTGGTGTGACCTTATGTGATCTAGTTATTTAAGGGCACAGAAGCGAATAAAAATAATAGGGAGAGAGAGAGAGAGAGAGAGAGAAAGAGATTTAGAAAAGCGGTAGAGAGAGAGCAAAAGACTATGATTAATAAAAATGAGAAATAGTGAGAAAAAGAGAGAGACATTATGATGAAAGCGTAAGTGAAAAGGAGAAAGAACCAGGAGACGAGAGAGAGAGAGAGAGAGAGAGAGGGGGGGATAATGAGACAGAAAATATAATGAGACATAGAGAAATAATGAGAGACAGAGAGAGATAATGCTAAAAATAGATAGAACCACAACCAATCACCCACCAAATTTTGACATCGGTCGATTCAGTAATACGGACGTTTACTTAATTACAGGTTGTGATGACGTCGTCCAACCCTAACAACTGTTGACCTGAATTCTTGAAAGATCATAAAATATACTTTGTTCATAACTGGTGATTTGAGAGTACATCTAATTGAAGCTATATTTCTTTTTTACCTCAAGCTACGATACAAAGTCGGGTTCTCATAGGATCGTAAGTTACATTTTTCTCTTAATTGTTCATGTGGAAATGTATCTGAATGCCTCACTTAAACTACGATACAAAGGTGACACTTAAAATGGCGTCGATATAGCACTGACACTCTACCATACCTAATATTAAGTAAAATTATATAGTTAAGGTTGAGTCTCAGTATAAATTTGATGTAATTTTTTAATTTTTTTTATATGTGTTTTTGCTTAAGTCGAACAGATTAAGTTTTACAACGTTATTTTTATTTTAATCTGAATTCCACCTTTTAAATATCTCAAGACAAGCTGCAGGTACACACACACACACACACACACACACACACACACATATATATATATTTAATAAGTAAATAAATAAGATAAATACAATTCACATCATTTTGACTTCTCACTCAATATTCTCACGAAAACAAAGTATCTGTTTCATAATAATTTGCAAGTCAAAGTCACTAATACTTTTCCTTTCTTTTTACTTTCAATTTCTAATTAAAATTTCATCTCACTTGAATGTACAGGTAAAATGTCATTGTAGAAAATAGCTACAAATTAGTTAAAAAGTATATAAATATTTTTTTCCCTGAGATAACGACCAGAGCAATTTTTTTATATCGCGCGAGTCATCTGTTACCTAACCAAACCTAACCGAACCTAACCTAACCAAACCTAACCAAACCTAACCAAACCTAACCAAACCTAACCTAACCTAACCAAACCAAACCAAACGTGTTAAATTTTTAAGTGAATATTGTGTACATTTCTCTGGAGCAGCGAGTTTACAAAAGGAACAAATACAGTTTTATCTCGTTGTAGTGTGGGAGATAAGACCCTGCAGTAATAAAAACAACAAAAACAATAATATTATCACCAACAACAACAACAACAACAACAACAACAACAAACCCTACACACAAAGGAACAAATAAGATTCTTTCTCACCAACAAGAAAACTCCAATTAAAAAAATTAAAAATAAAATAAAAATCTTTCTTTCGCTGTAATAAGAGAAACGAAGGAAGAAATTTTAACCCAATTGGCTGTCGAGTAATTCTCCTGCTCCTCCTCCCCGGATCCCCCTGTTCCTCGTTCTCCCCCCCCCCCTTCCTCCCCCTCCTCTTCCTCCTCCATTTATCCCTAATTACCGCTATCATTATCCTGTTTTATCACCACGTGGGTATAACGACTTGCGCCTTATTCCACATTCTCTCTCCCACACAATTTGCTTCCATTGTAAAACTCGCCGCCGCGTCTTGGTGAGAGAGAGAGAGAGAGAGAGAGAGAGACTGAAAATGAGTGGGGTGGAGATAGAAGGGTGGGAGGGGGGATGAGAGGGAGAAAAAGATGGGTGGATGGTAGGATGGGGGAGAGGGAGGGGGAGGGATGGGGAGAGAATGACAGGGACCCACGTCAAAGAATTAGCCAAAACCATTCCATCACCTCCCTCCACGACAGGAGGAGCGGGACAGTAAGGTTAACTTGTCACCATACACAATAATACAGTCCATTAATATTACACACACACACACACACACACACACACACACACACACACAGAAAGATCCCTCGTCCACGAATTGCTGTTCGACACCACAATTGCATCCAGCCCATACGAACACGTACTGATCGCTATTCGAACGACCCAGTCCCAACCATTGTAAAATTATCAATAACTTGTAATCAACCAGTGTATTCACTCCCAGTCAATCTTACTTTTTGCACTGTCACTATGTTGAAATGCCCTGTAGTTTGAGCTTCTCCCCGCCTAGTTATTATATATCATATTTGTATCCCTTATGTTACTTGTATATTATTTGTAAATCAAGAGACCCATTCTCCAATTATGTAACTGTATATTTTCAGTTACACACATACATACATACAGACAGACAGACAGACAGACAGATAAAAATAGAAACTGTCATTTTCCTTTTCCAACAACTACATTTTGTTCAGCAGGTACTTAACAGCTTTTAGAAATTTTATGGCAGTTCATTGTTTTCTGTTATGATGGAAGAGTGTGTGTGTGTGTGTGTGTGTGTGTGTGTGTGTGTGTGTAGAGGTGGCATGACGCGAGCGATTATCTCAGGGTAAACGCTATATCTTTCAGACAATACTCGAAAAAGAGAGAGAGAGAGTGGAGGAGGAGGAGGAGGAGAGAGAGAGAGAGAGGGGGGGGGTGGGTGGGTGGGGAGGGTGGAGGTACTGTTATTGTAGGCCAGAACACAGAGCGGTCAGACCAGGCCAGGCAGTGTGTCCCTGGCTCTCGTGCCGTCAACACGCTCTCTCTCACATACTCTCTCTCTCTCTCTCTCCCTCCAAACTACGAAACCGCTTGGGGTCTCTCTCCCTACGCATCACCGTACAGTTACTACCAATACGCCTGAGGTTAACACAGTGTAAATATACAATAAAAGTGAACTGATATTAATTGTTCCACGAGAAGTTTTATCATGGTGGCCAATGTGAGTTTGTTTTTGTTGATGAAGTTATCCAGTTCATCGGATAGAAACTGAAGAGAAAACAAACTTGTGTTGATCTTGTGTTGATCTTGTGTTGATCTTGTGTTGATCTTGTGTATGTGTTGCGTTGTGTTGCTTTTTGGTGTAAGAAAGTTATCGCTGGACTCATGATAACATATGTATAAAATATTAGCTGTTGTACGACTAAGGTGAATTGAAGTTGGTTGTAGTGATTTGTGTGTGTGTGTGTGTGTGTGTGTGTGTGTGTGTGTGTGTGTGTGTGTGTGTTAATGAATTACGTAAGGGAAAATAAAGTTTGGTTGAATAGTCTTCTTACTACTACTACTACTACTACTACTACTACTGCAACCGTCAATCACCATCATCACTACCAGTAATACGAGGTTGCTATAACAGGTACCACCAGTATCACAACTACCACTATCGTCACTACTACCACAATTATTATTTCCATCACTAGCACGACCATTAAAACCCACCACCATCGCGATTATCAACCACCACTATCAACTACCACCATCATCGCAATTATCAACCACCATCATTACCACTAGCAACCACCACCATCAATCACCATCAACCACCACCATCAATCACCATCAACCACCAACACCACTATCAACCACCATCTCTATCACAGACAGCTACCACCATTACCTTCACGAATAACTGACAAATACAATGATAGAATTTAGTGTAAGCAATAAAATGACAATGAATGATCTAGAAGGAAGATCAAACAAAGCATATCACAGAGTAAACACAGCACAGCACAGCACAACACAGCACAGCACACAATAACTTAGAGCAACAAAATGAAGAACAATAATTTAACAGTGAACAATATCGTCAAACACGACAGAGAAGAACAGTTAAAACCAGCAGCATAACACAGCACAATGCAGAAGAACTTAGCTTAGAACAGCATAGTGGTGTTAAAGTTATCATCAAAAAGCGCAACACAGAATAGATCAACACAGCATAACACAGTGTAGAACAATGTAACAGTACAACGCAGAAGCACAGCACAGCACAGCACAGCACACAGCACGTTGGCCACAGCATCGAGCGAACAGCATCCCTCCAGTGTTATCATGTGAGTGTTGTAAACCATTTATTATCGTTTATTCTTGTATATTTCAACTACTGTGTTTTAATATATATATTTTTTTTCATTTCACGTTCGTTATCTTCGTTATATGACCGTTAAACTCGTTGTAACCGTTATATCCGTTAACAATTGTTATAACCGGTGAACTTGTTGTAAGAATACGACCGTTATATCTGTTATGACCGTTACGCCGTTGCAACCGTTAAAGTCTATTCATTTCTTTAATACAAAAAATATGAAATTTCTATCAAAAAAAATAAGTCCATCTAGTGTGTAAATGCGTTTCTACCTGTCTGTCTATCCGTGTACGTGTCTGTCTATCCGTGTACGTGTCTGTCTTTATCCGTGTACGTGTCTATATCTATGATTGTAATTTCCAGTATATTTAAACACAAAGTCATTTCCTTTTGACATTTTATTTGAACGTTTAATTTGTATTTATCTTTTAGTACAATGCTCACACAAGTCTTTCATTCATCAACATTAACGTCAAGTACAGGTTAGTCTGATACGGAGGGCGTTGACCTTTTGAGAAGAAGAGAGAGAGAGAGAGAGAGAGAGAGAGAGAGAGAGAGAGAGACTGATGGAAGGATGGAGAGAAACAAAAAAAAAGAGAGAAAGCAAAACAGAAAGACGGATAGAAATGAAAAAAAACAGAAATAATAAAATGGGAGAGATAAGAAAGATTGAGACAGACAGACAGACAGACAGAACATCAGACTCGTATATCAGGTGTGAGATACAAGAAAATATTCCATGTTGTAAGTAAGGTGATGCAGGTAAACGAATTTTCAGGTACACACCCAATTGTAAAAGGTCAAAGGTTACATGTCCAGGGTCAAAGGGCACATGTCCATGGTCAAAGGTCACAGGCTAAAGGTCACGAGACAAGGGTTAAAGGTTAAATGTTAGAAGTCAAGGGATAGAGGTGACAGGTCAAGTTGTCAAGGAAAAAAAATCAAGAGTTACAGGTCACAGGTCAAGGGTCAGAGGTAACAGGTTAATGGTTAAAGGTCAAGTGTTAGAGATCAGAGAATAGAGATGACTGGTCAAGGATTATAGGTCACAGGTCAAGGATTAGAGGTCACAGGTCAGGGGTTAGAGTTCACACCACAATAATCAAGAGTGTCAGAAGTCATAAGTCATGGGTTAGAGGTCAAAGGTGTCCTCCTAAAGGCCCAGAGATGATGAGGCTCGTGACC